TATATATATAATATATATAAACCTTCACTTGTAGCAATGGGTCATTTGGATCCAAATCAAACATGTTTGGACAATTATACAATCTGTACGATCGGTACTATGAAGTTCTAAATATTTAAAAAATTTTGAACCTTCATCTATCAATCGCCGCAAGGAAGAGATTTACTTGTATTTTGTACTTCAAACAAGACCCTTTAGAATTTAAGTGTAATTTCCAAAGCTATAGTTGAGGCTAAGCTATCAAAAGCTAGTAGCTAATAGAAATCAGTAAAAACATAAATAAAAAAGGATCATGACATAATGCGCATGTTTCACTCACATTGGACGGACATATATCTCCACGGTAATTCGAGAAACATAACTCAAGTCCTGACGAATCATGAGTTTTTCGCAGTATATACCGTGACGCAACGCGACGTGTCGGCTTCCCTATTTTAGTTGTCTTTTTCCTCCTCGTTCGTTCTCTCGACTCGTCAACTTTATCTATTTCTTTCTTTATTGAGTATATGCGATGACTTTTCCCTGTCGCGCGCATGTTACCACCTTTCAACCGTGTGAAATTACAAGGAGAGTATCTTTACAAGGAGAGTGTATCACTGCGACAGTGTTACGGTACATGAATTTTAAAATATTTAGTTTCTTCATGACACAATTAATAATTCACAATAGCGCAATCAATGATTACATTTCCAGTACTTAATTTATTAGAAAATTTTATTTACAAGAAACTATAAACAGGAAACTATTAATGAACTTGAAATGAGATCTTCATTCAAAGAAGTTTATAAAACAGATAATCGACATCTTATTAATAATTCACAAATTATTGGAATTTATGTTATATCTCTGAAATATTCTTTTATATTATATTATTTTTATCAATATTATGTCAATGAGGAACGTCAGAATGATTCAATAGAGAGAAACTGTATTGAAATCAAAACCTTAAAATTGATCACAAACAGAAATTTTTATTTGTAATCATTCGAGTTTAATTCGCGTTATTTTAAATATTATTAAGCTTTTCTCTATATTAATTAATATAGAGAAATTACGAAACAATAAACAATGTCATAAAGGTAACAGAAATTGTTTTGCTAATTAAAAATGATTCGAAATCAAGAGAACTAGAATTACATTTTGAATGTACAATCAGAAAAATATATGAAAAATGTATGATATACACACTTACCTTATCAAGCCGGTCTCCTTTTGCTTGCCAATGAGGAACGTCAGTACACCATCAGTCATCTGATTCGCCCATGGTGGTTTTACCCAGATCAGGTTCTTAAGATGACCCGCATACGCTGCAGGCAGAATCCAATTCTCGATGCTAATCTCGCTGAAAAAACAAAATGCTTATTAGAGATAATTTTCATTTATAAAATTCGTTCAGAGATTAAAAAGTTATGTATCCTCATATGTTCTTTTCTTTTTTCTTTTCGCGGTCTACATTACCAAAAGCGCACATTGTACTTGAGAAATAATACAATATGTAATGTTTAGTATGTGCAAATCTAAAAACATGTTGATGTTTTATACACTTGCACTATAATTAATACTAATCGAATAAATTACTTCTGACATCTTCTGTTTCTAATATTTAGATTAATTCAGACAAATTTCTATATCTCAAAAATGATAAAACAACCAATAAAAATAACAAAAGCAACGTGCAATCATTCGCAATAAAATAAGATAAATTAGAAAAATTGTTTAATTTTGACAAGTTTCAAATCAATAACGATGATACAAATTTTTAAAAAGTATTTAAAATAATAAAATAAGAGAATTACTTCTGCTCTCTCTTGCATCTGTACTTATATAATTTTATCAATAACACACACAGAACAAGTTACGATAATGTCAAAATAACATTAAAATAAAATCAGAAATGATTGAAAAGTGATTTTTAATGATCATTTTAGAGTCATTTTGATATCATAGTATGTCTTGTTATTCTGCTTGGGTATCAATTAAATTTAATGAGATTAGTAATGCACCTTTACTTTTTACTTTTACAATTTTATTTTCATTTATGCGCATGAAATAGAACAATATGCGTAAGGATTTTTTCAAATTCTGTGTTATTTCAATGATATAATTACCTAAATTATATTTTTATAAAATTTTTGATATAAATAAATTTTATAAATAATAATTTTATAATATAATAATAATTTTATGTTAGTACATTTATTTAATTATTATGGTAATTGTGTCACAAAATTTATATCCAACTGTCGTAAAAAGTACATTGAAATTGATGTTTGATAATAAAACTTTTATTGTTGTACAGAAATGAAAAATATAATTCAAATATTGATAGGATTGAATGCGAACTCCTCGAAATTGAGTTAATAGCTATCTTTGATAAATAATTTTATATCTCAAATATCGATGCATTATATATTTAATTCGTAAGAATTCGATTCAAATTTCTTCGCACGCCAAAGGAAGATTGTATTCGATATTCTTCACTGAAGGACAAATATAATATCATACAAAATCTAAAATGTGATTGTTATATGTATCTATAATATCTATACACGTACCTGAACAATTGATTCTTATCCCACACCGTATCAGCCGGCATCTCCTTCGGTATCAGCATATCGGGATGTGAATCCAGATGTACGAAGGTGTTACCTTCGAAGGGCAGATGCTTCGATCCCATACACCGATATATAAACGGTAAAGCCTGCGAGAATATCATAAACATGGCGCGTTTATCAAATATAGTTTAAAAATTGAATCTCGCCTCACGTCGCAAGTTCGCGGTTATGATCAACGCACAACTGGCATCGAGATCTCGAACTCGAACTTAAACTCTCGAAATTGATAATTTGAAGTTAGACGAGCTAATCACAGATTCTCGACAAACTGATCTCCTCACTCCAACTTCAAGACAATCAAAAAGTATATTCGAATTCAATTAATTTCGTTATAAAGTTGTAATATATATTTAAAGTATTTACATTAAATTTACAATAAATATTTATTTATAAACAAATAAATTTCAAAGCCCTCCGGATTTATTATATATAAATATTACAAAATATTGAGTAATTATAATTTTATTCTTAACAAAACCTTGAACTCCTGATTATCTTTACATTCCTTTGAAAACATTTAAAAGTTCACTATTCTCATAGCACAAAAATTGCAGCAACAATGCAGCAATATTGCAGCGTTATTGCCGCAAATTCTGTGCTGTATAGGCAAATTCTGATGCGCACTAGTGCGAATTGGTGCAAATTAAAGCTGTTGTATATAATGTAATTGATTTAATATAAGTGTAAAAGTGAAATTAAAATATTTTAAATTATAACATACATATTTTGTTTTATTAAAATACGTATCTAATAACACAATAAAATGTGTTGAAAATTTCACGATTTACAACTGCTTCTATATTTATATTAAGCACGCACTTTTACGTCATTTTGTGTATGACGGCTTTAATATGTATCGATGCACACTTAGGCCCTGCGCACAATAAAGAAATATTAGGAATTGAAAAAAATATTAAGATTTCAACCGATCAAAAACTGCGTATTCCGACTGGGATCTGATAGGTTAAAATCTTAATATTTATTCTTATTTCTAATATTTGTTTTAGTGCGCAGGTTCTTATAGTAAATGAGAATGGATTAAAATGGATTAGAATTGAAATTCTTTATTTTTATCTCTTTTTTAGATTTGCTGACGTATTCTACAGATAAAAATATGAGACATGTGTTTCGCAAAAAAAATTGAGATTTTTTTTTAAATTATTCACGCTTGTAAGAATTACAGAAATTCATAATAAATATCGTTCAGACGAACATTCAAATTATTATATCATCAAAACCATTCGTCATATCAATCCATTCTCGTTTGTTGGGTACATATACTTATAGATTACAATATATAACAATATTTGAAGAATAGATTAGACTCGATTCCACTAATGTAAGATTAACTTCAATCTCAATTTGAATTAATATATCATTAACTAATGACATATTAACTAATTATTACCTTGTATGTGTATAGGTATTATTAAGGGTGCTTATTTTCATCTGATATATGACACAAAGTCGACACAAATGTTCTATCTTTTCGTCTGTTTTCTGTTCCTGCACTAGACTGCACTAGTACCCTCTTTCTCACTTTCAAATATCAAATATACCTATCTCACTTCAAAAGTGTACTAATACACTTCAGCCACAAAAAAACAGATCTTTTGTCACTCTCTGAATATCAAGACTTGTGCCATCAAATAGAAAGCTAAATTATTAATTTCGTACAGTATACAATACTTCAATAAAGATGCGATAACGGATAACGGACGCTTTCAGTTTCGGAAACAATCGAATTGTATTTTATCGGAGCGCGCGCTCCGCTACTAACGCCGCGACATCTAGCGACGCAGTCGCGTACTAGCGCACGATTGATGGCAGAGCGTCCGCGGCGTAACGACACTAACGACGCTCGAGAACGGCGTTCGAATACACTCACCTCATCGTGGTCCTCCACGACGTAGACCGGCGTCCTCTTGAAGTACTTGCGTATATACGACATATCTCGTGATTCTGGAATACGCGGACCTGATTACTGATTGTCGACGAAAACACGACGATCGCTGGACCGACGAAACGCGCGAGTTAAACGATCGATTTTCCAATTAACACCACGACAACGGAATGTACGCGGACACTGGGAATCGCGGGCACGCGACGCACTGCTTCGCGCGGAAGCACGTGGTCATCGACTGAAGTTTCGTGCTCTTAGGCGCGCACCTCAAACACAATCATTTCGCGAATAAAGGGACAGGGGCACCAGACAAGGGTTTACTCCGAATTTCTCACGAGACGAGTTTCGTAAGGTGGTTCCCCTTTTTTCTCTTGCTCTAGCCCGAATCTCCCCTCATCCCCCCATCCCCTTCCCCCCTCTGAGGATGAGGACGCCTTAGAAACCTGATCCTTCTAACATAGCCGACAGTGACGAACCGCGAATGTAGAATATTATTTGACAACTTAGTATGAATAAGTTTATTCAGGCAGATTGGATAGTTTTTAACGAGTCACTGCCGAATAGATCTCTATAGATTTTCAAAGTTATAATGCGTTAGAATAAACGTTATATATCTCTATTATAATGCTTCTATACTCTTTATGTTAATTTCTACTAAAACAGATAAGACTCTTAATTTATTCTTTATGCAAAAGCTATGTATTTCGCGGATTGTCTCTATGTCCAAATCCATTACTAGTATACCAACGTTTTGTAAACATTGCAGTTTACTTCATTAGGATTAGAAGCAGCCTGATGCTATCATTTATTCTATCCTTTTCTAATGCTTAAAGTTAGGAAAAGATCAATAGTTAAACCAAGATTACAGTTAATCTACTTTGATAGAAACGGACATTAGTCAAATTTACATATTTCTTTCTATATTTTATTTTATTCGTTTTTATTTTTATTAAAAAATGTGAGTGTTAAAGTTAAATCGGGTGTTTTTAACTAAAAGCAAAATCTAATATTGCCTTTATAAAACATATTTACAGATAAAAAAAATATTTATATTACAGGAAAAAAAAAAGAATTATTCTTATTAATCGCTCAACATGTAAATCATACGATTTGTAAATTATCAAATAAGTACATAATATTTATATGATTATTAATAGACATTAATTTTTATAAAAAGAAAATGATTGTACATATCCTTACTGTAAAGTATCCTTACTGACAACCGACAATATTCGATCGATGAGAAGACTATATAAGACTCGATCGCGAAAGATCAATTGCATAACCGCAGGTAGCGTCGAATCGGTAAGAAAAGGTTACCGGTATACAGTTAAAGTCTCGTCGATGCGTATTAAGTACCAGCGAAGCGTGACTTTTCGCTATCGATTCACATGTCATTCTTTGCCGCCGCTTGATCATAATAAACACATCGTGAGAAAGGATTTGACGAAAATGCGCTCGCAATACAATTTGAATGTCCCTCGCATAACTAAACAGACAAGATACTCTGTATCTCGCTTATTAATCTAATTACGCGTGATCATTAATCATACTTACTTAGTCTAATTTTCCAACATTTGAGATTTGTAAATTTCCAGATGCAATCGATCAGTTTGCATTCTCAACGACGATAAAAATTTATCAATATCAGTTTCACATGAATAAACATTGTTTACTAAATCATTACCTGACTTGCGAGCTTTTAAATTTGTATAATTATCATTAGTCTCCTGTCTCAAGTATCGTGGTATGCGATTAGATCGTGATGATTGAGCATGTGGATATGTACCGAAAGAACATACAGGTACACATCCGCTCCAGTAATCGCGATAAATTTGATTTGACAACGCTTTCTCTTCTGCACCTAAATCGTAACATAAATTAGAATCTGGGTTTCGCGGATAAAAACTTTGCACTGGATTCAACGAAGGAACTTTCTTAGCATTCCTATATGTAGATGAATTTAGTGTCCTTGAATGTCTTGCGGAGGCGATCAAATTACTTATATCTATGCTATCCTTTGGATCACATTTATGAGATTTTACATGTTTATTATGTTTGTCAAACACATCCACATTATTATAAACAACATTATTTGTTTGTACAGGTGTATATCCAGTTTGTACGTTTTTAACTTTATTATATTGAACATTTTTCTTGTCGGATTCTTTTTTATTGCTACTAGAAAGCGATATTTTCTGTTGGTTGTTCAAAGTAACTTTATCACTACTTGAACACGTAACATCCTTCTCAAATGATATAACTGAGATATTCACGTTTGAGGTACTAAGAGTTTCATCGTTTTCATCATTTATTTGCAAAATTTCTACCTTTTCATATCTTTGATCGGAGATTGCATTAGTGGAAATATCATATTTTGTATTTTGTACATTATGTTTATCTTCATTGGCAACTGTAACTTGATTGGAACAAACTTTTTGCATTCTCTTTGTCTTCAGATCGTTTTCCTTTATTATATTTGTTATTGGAGCATCTACTTCAACAGTCTTATGCAATATATCATCATCTTGACTTTCCAAAAGTGGCAGCTCCTCACATACTTGTGAATACTTCGTCAATTTATCATCATTTTCATTCCTTTCTGCTGTTTCTTTAAGCAGCGTTTTCATATCCGAAAACGATAAATTTTGTTCTTTTATTTTCTGAATCAAATCACATGTTTCAATTTCATTTAAACATGCTGTATAATCTATTATTTCAAATATTTTTTCATTTGGATTTTGATAAGTTCTAAAATATTGTAATGCCTTGCGATATTCTTCAATCTCAGAGTTTGACATCATTAAATTCGGCATATCTTCATCAATATTTATAGGATAAGGGAAAAATGCATTAAATTTCGTTCCTAATATATAGAAACGGCTCTTGAAATCTTCTATTTCTTCATACATATCTAATAAATTATTATCTGCATTAGATGCTGAAAACGTATAAGTATCCTGCACCTCTTCATCACTACGGAGCTGTGGAAAAATACACAAGAAAGCCCGTTTCTGTATATTAAGGAAAGTTTTGAGAGCTGAAAAATGTTCTTTATATATTAATTTATAAAAAGAATCAGTCATGCCTTTATATCTATTATCTAATAAATTAATTTCAAACTCGAGTAACTCTTTCCACTTGGAAGCTACTCTCAACAAAGATTCTTCATCGTTACAAACGTTATTATCGCTATTGATAACTTTTGTAGCATATATTAATAAATAATTGTTTACTATTGTCCGTATGTGATCATTCTCACTATTATCCAATTCGTTTATAGGTAAACTATTCACAAAATCAGAATTTTTTGTAGAAAAAGTATCCTGAAAAGTTTGTATAGACATTTTTTCATCATTATCCTCTTTATCATGATTAGACATTGATGCATCATTTTCTTCTTTTTTATTTTCTTCTTTATTGTCTTCTTTGTTAATTAAAGAATCTTTCATATATCGAATAACGTTTTCAATATCTACATCTGATAATTTGCAATTCTCTGTATCTGATAGAGCTACTTCAAATACGACATCTTTATTCAATTCTTCCAAAGCAGAAGGTTCATCAGAGTTAGGTGTTATTGTAAATTGATATATGTTTCTTGATCTGGATGAGTTTAGAATTGATACTTTACTTTCTTCAGAATTTTCAACTACAGACTCTACAGTTGATACTTCTTTACATTCTTTAGAAGTATTAACTGCAGAATTAGCTTTGCTTTGAACATAATGTTGAAATAATGAACTAATTTTTATCTTTTCATCTAAATTAGATTTTGATTGTACACATGTATTATTAGAAACAGTTTTATGTCCTCTTCTATTTTTTGATGATTTACGTTTTTCACGTTTTTTAGTAGTATTTTCAACGTTCTTTGACGATAACATATTGACTGTTGTGTGTTTCGGTGAAACACTTTTACATTCGTCACATTCTGTAAGAGTTATATTACTTTCCGTTGATGAAATGTTGCTCGCTGTGCTGTTGGGTGAAACATTGTTATATTCTTCATGTTTCACAGTAGAAATATTTTCTGATGATATATCATCGACTACTGAAGAAAACATACGTTCTGACATAGATATTGTTATAGGAGCACCATTTTCAGATTCAAGAACAGTTTTATCAATGGCTGGCAATTTTGTGAGACTAATTTCAGATTCCAAATAAATTTTTTCAAATACTGAAGTATCATCAGCCCAAACATCTTCTGTATAATCAGAACTGAGCTTGAATAAGTAAAAATTCACTCCACTAATCGAAGTTAATAATTTTCTGAATGATGAAAGCTCATTTTCGGTAACGATTGTAATAGAAATTCCATAAGATCCATAGCGACCAGCTCTGCCAATTCTATGTAAATATGTCGCCGGATCCGTAGGTATATCCAAATTTATGACCATATTAACATTTTCTATATCTATACCCCTTGCAGTTAGATCCGTGGTTAACATAATTCTACACTCCAAATTTCTTAAGTTTTCAATCGCTTCCAATCTTTTAGTCATATCTTGATTTCCAACAATATATGAAGATGAAAAACCCAATAAATTAATTGTATTGCTTACTGATTGAGCCCTGTAATAACAGAAATAGAATAATTAAATTAATTAAATATTAATTAAGTTAATTAAGTTAATTAAATAATAATTAAGAAATAATTACATACCGTGATTGATAATTTGAAAAAACTAAGCTTTGCTTAAATGGAATCTTGGTAAAAATTTTTACCAACTCGTCAATTTTTGTTTTTACCTAAAAATATGAACAGAAAAAAAATTATATAAAATGTTTGTAATAAAATTAATTTTTATTAGTTCGTAAATAAAGAAAAAAACCTGTTTCATCATATTAGGATGTGTCGGAACTACAGCCACAAATTGTTTGATTCCAATCAAAACTGGTCCATCAATATTTGGTGATGTTAACACTGGAGAGGACATATAAGTTTGTAGAAACGTTTCTAAATCCCCAGGATAAGTAGCACTTGAAGCTATAATTTGCTTGCTGGATGGTAGTTTAGAAAATATAAAACTATAGAAAAACATTAATACAACTTTAGTGATTTACAAGACAAGTTAGTAATAATACATTTGATTGGATACAATGTGCACATGTAGTACAAATTAAAGTCTATTAAATACTAATCTACTTAAATCTAAAAAGCTTAAGCATTTTTGAACGCTGGATCAACACACATCCATAAAATAATATAAATAACATGTCAATTCTAAGAAGAATCATAAGGCTAACATGTGATCTCGTAAGACTAAAAACTTATAAGTTTTTATAATTTTATGAAATATTTTTACAGACAACTTCTTGTTAGCTGTAACATTTACGAGAAAGCGTAGATATTGACGAATAATTGTACGTCTTACAGCATGTACATATGCATAGAATTATAATATATATATAATATATATTAGTCATATTAATACCTTACAAGTTTTACAAAAACAAATTAAAGTCTAACGAGTCTGTTTAGAATTTATCCATGAATTATATTTAGCTTACATATATATATATATATATATATAGGTTCAATTAGCTTTTTTATATATATATGTATATATACTATGCATATGTTCTGTATACAGTAGCCTTTAATATATATTACTATATATACATGCATATACATCTAAATTTATTTAATATTTAATTCTTAAATTCAATACTAACTTGATATCTTTTTGAAAATTAATCTCCATTAATTTATCTGCCTCATCAAGAACAAATAATTTGATCTTTGAAACTTGAAGAAATCCCTTTTCAATTAAATGTTTTACTCTGCCAGGTGCACCAACAGCTATATGACATTTGCTTAACTTTTTTTTATCTTCTTCTATCGACATTCCTCCCACGAAATATTCAACTTTTAGTCCTAAAATAATAAAAATAATTGACAAAGAGATAGAGATAACTTTTCTAGGAAAAGTATATAGTAATATTTGAAATTATTATATACCTTCTATTTTTGAACCTATTGTTTCAATAACATAGGTTATTTGAATTGCAATTTCTCTCGTAGGTGCTACTATTAAAACTTGTGGTGATCCTATCAAAATATCTAAAATATCGAGAGCTATTACACCAAATACTATGGTTTTTCCAGTTCCTGATTTTGCACGTACTATCAAATCTGTAAATTATCAATTTTTAACATAAATATCATAATTAGTCTTTAATATCATATATGTATCTATAAATTATATTACCAAATCCATAACGGCCTAATGGAATGGCTTTTAACTGGATAGGAGATGGTTTTTGAAACCCAGCAGACATTAGCCCATCCAGAATATCTCGTGGAAGTCTCATTTGAAAAAATGTAACATTTTCTTCTATTTTTATATCACTCGTCCTCTGTTTCGTATTTATGTTATGTGCGATATGAGCCATTTTCCTAATAATATATATAAATACATACAAAATACATGTAAAAAAATACCAATTAAAATATAAATTAAATAAAAAAAGCAGAAAAAAACATCTTTCTTTTATTGTAACATTATTTCTATTACATTAATTATAACTTCAAAAAAATTCTATCAAACAATAAATATTTTTCCTTCTTTATTCAAATTTCTTCACAAAATGTATTAAAAAAAGTACAATATAACCAACAATATTTGTTATAGTATTTAACATACTTAATATTCAATATGTAAATAATAATATAATTTATATATAGTCATACAAACTTTTATAATCTAATTTTTATTTCTCTTGGAATACCATAAACGCACGCTCTCACCAGAGAAAAATCTGAATAAGGACATGACAGCCCAAAATCTGTAACCGCAAAATGCTGCCGCGCACTACTGCACTCTAACAAAATAGATGTAAACTACATATTATAGTAAGATTCACTTATCTGAAGGTACATACGTCTATTTTTCAAGGCTGCAGATGATAAATCGATTTGGTTCGTATAATCGTACACATTCACAAACTGTGAATCAGAAATATTACCGACGAGATACTATTAAAAACCGTCAACCCTGGGAAAATTTTCCACAGTATAAAAAGAGCCCCAAGGCCTTTTGAAGAATGCTGACATTATCGACAATTGATATAAATTTCTTATTATTAACATAAATATTTGGCTTATACATTATTAAATTTATGATTTTTAATTACATAAATGCTCCATAAATAAATATGCACACTTGTAAAGCTGCAATATTCTATATATTGTAGAAAAATTTCAATTTTTTTCTCTGCAGTTATTATTTCTGTTGGCAATCCAACTTTAACGATAACACTGAAATCACAATTTTAAAGAAAAATCGAGTATTATTGAGTTCTAAATGCATAAATACGTCTATTAAACTAATAAATCAATACAATAAAAAAATAAATATAATATTATCAGTTTTTAACTCTTAATCACTTTAATATTTACAAAGGAGGCGAATTCCTATAAGGATGTCAGTCTTTAATAGTATCTTGTTGGTGCCTGTATCTATTGCTTGTGCTTATTGTGTTTAAAGATTTAAACACAATAGGCACAGACAATAGGCACAGGCAACAGAGAACGAGCCATCCAATCAGAGCTCTGGGATATAATATTGAACTTACACACCAGAGCTCTGATTGGACGGCTGATTATTTCTTGTTGTAAAATTCTTCAATACGATTGGTTCTTGCTTATGGATTTAAATGTATAAACTAATCATATAGAAAAATTTTACAACTGTTGCAAAGCTGCTTTCTCTGCTGAACGCAACTAATATCTAACCATATATTCTATTGCGTACTAATAAACTCAGTGGGATAATTTAATCGCAATCGTACTAATAATAAATAAGTAATAAGCAATAATATAATTAAAACCAGCTCTTTTTCAATCTTTAAAATACAAAAAGAATTAATAAATAACAGGGCTAATAAGAGTCAGCGCAGATAATTAAGCGCAAGTTTTGTAGATTTTTTTTAATCAACCAAACTTGCGCTTGATTGTCCGCGCTGTCTCTCATTAGTCTTGTTGTTTGTTGGTTTTTTTTTTGTATTTTAAATAACTCTCAAAAAATATAAAAACTCGCAATTTACGAGCAAATTATCCTCCCGAATATTCAGTTTACCTTTTATAAACTTGGTATCACACCAACCTACCTCTCAATGAGCAGAATGTCTAAAATTGACGCATAAAACAACTTTAAGATATCTTTAAGAATTCTTTAAGAAACATCTTTAAGATATTTCATAAAGAATTTTTTATATAATATCTTAAAGTTGTCTTATGCGTCGATTTTAGACATTCTGCTCATTGGGCTTGTAAAGAGACTCTATTTTTCTCTGGTCAGATTGAACTCACCTTTTGTTGCTCCTGGTCAATATTCTGGTTTCATAAGCCAAAAATCGACAATAAGGAGAAATACTCCTTTTCGCTGCCAACTGCTGCCGATTAATATCGCCAGCAATAAACAAAGACTTTAAAACATTAAATACTACAACAGTGATAATTGTTTTTACAATTTGAAAAATTATATTTCATTTTAATAAGCAAATGATTAACGTGAAGTTAATAGATATTAAATTATATTTATGTTGGATACATCTTTGACGCATCATGTGAACATAGCACGCAACACTTGCATGATAGAAAAGTGCGGAATAGCGATGATTGGTTGCTTCAATGATGCTTTCTGTATTCCGCAGTCCTATTCTGGACCATGTGATTTTACTCTTATTGAAGGGACTCTATGGCTGGTATTCATAGTCGATTCTTATTTCAAGACCATTTTAAGTAATATCTTAAGACGCTAATGCAGCCTTCTGATTGGTTCTGACTTCTTAAGCAATCTTGAAATAAGAACTATAAATATCGACCTAGATATGTTTTTGATGAAGCGACTCGTAGCGGTACATTTCATAACTGCCTGTAATTTTTCTGTAGAATAAAACAGGATAAGGCTACTTTGTCTATTAGTTTTCCAATCAAAGTCATGTCTTCGATCTATGGAGTACGCGGCGTACTGGGTGCTCTGTTTTCTTTCAATCAACGTAAATAAAATTGAAATTTTACTAAAGTTGATTGAACGCGTTGTTATTCCGATTGTTACGAAAAATTTAAAAAAATTCTGTGAAAAATGGGGCGCCGTTCGATCAATACCACAAAAAGTGGGAAATACATGAATCCCACTGATCAAGCACGTTAGTAATCGAGAACATAACCAAATAAAAAAAACATCTTTGAAGAAATAATCTTTAATTAAATGACTGTTGAGTATTTAATTATCTTTTCTTTTCATTTATAGGAAAGGAAGCGCGTAAAAAAGAATTAAAAAAGAATAAGAAGCAACGACAATTAGTAAGAGCGGCTGTTTTGAAAGGCAAAGATCCAGCGCAGATTATCGAAGAAATGGAAAAGATTGATCAGATGGGTTAGAGATTGTACTTTTAATTTTTAGAACATACATGTATGTATTTTTATATTTTTTTTTTTATTTTTAGAGTATAACGTAATGCAACCACCTCCCTTGAATGAGAAAGTATTGAAGGACAAACGAAAGAAACTTAAGGAAACTTTAGACCGTGTGTTAAAAATGTATGTAAGTATGTAAATAGTGTAATAAATTTTCTTCACTAAAATATTGGTAAGCTTATGATGACATTAAAAATTGGATTTTACTATGGGATAATCAGTATATTGTTTCTTTTTTAGGCAAAAGATGATCAAGAAAAATGGGCTGAACTAAAAGAACAATTAATACAGTATGAACGTAGAAGAATAGACTTAGTTTCCTATTTTGAAGCTGTGCGACATGCACAGCAAGTGCAAGTTGATGAAATTCCATTGCCATCAGCTGTCAATGACATATCCAGAATATATCCAGGTAAGTATATTCAAATATTAATTGAAAAACTTTGAAGAACAATTATGCAGCTAATAGAAATTTTTATATAGCATTTAGGATGAATCTAATAAAAATTCCACTACTTTTTTTTTAAACTGTTAGAGATAAGGGGAAATAGTTACCAAATTTATAGAATAAGTAGATATATTTTAATGGCTTTAAATGTTTTTTGTTTTTTTTACAATAAGAAAATTTTGTTTATGGAAGGAATAGTTTTCCCCTTGTATCTCTGTTTTCAAAGAAATGTGAAATTTTTGTAGATATATCCTGTACATTTTTATACATATACATATATATATATATATATATAGGCATATAATATATCCAGATATATAGGCATATAGTATATCCGGATGTTCTTAAATTTCGGCATCCATTCTGAGCAGGCAGAGCAGACTAAAGTGAGTCGAAAAGTCCTCTACTTTTGCGATTTTCATAATAGTTAACGAGATATTAATTACTAAAAATTATTTTATTAATTTTTCATAATTTTTTACTCAAATACTAATCAACTTTACAGAAAAATTGCAAGAGACAAAAATCATTTATTTTCTTCTCATAGAACTTTAAGAATTTTTTCAGAATTTTTTATAACTTTTTACCACCATACGTTTTCTTATTTTTACCACTATGAAAAAATACGGTATGAAAAAATTCTCAGAACTTTATAAGAAGAAAATAAATAATTTTTATCTCTTTTTTTCTATAAAGGTGATAATATTTGAGTAAAAAATTATTGAAAACCAATATTTTGCGATTTTTAGTAATTAATATCTCGTTAATTATTGTGAAAATCGCAAAATGGGAGAAGACTTTTCGACTCAGTTTAGCTCTATTTGCTCAGGATAGGTGATGTCGAAATGTAAGAACACCCTATATATTCTGTATTTAGAATAATATATAATTTTATAATACATTTTTACTTAGTACAAATAATATAAACATCTTTACAGGTTCCTTAACATCACAGATTCCATTACCAGATATGCCACAGCCACCTGCACACATGTATCCACCTCATTCTCATTATATATCACAACATCATACTATAATGAATATTCCTGTACCACCAAGTATCTTAAAAAAGACCAGTGCATATGCAACTTCTCCAGCTGTGCCTACATTGGCACCCAATAAAGAGCCGCCTGGTGTGCCACCTTTTCCACCTCCGGAATTATCAAGCGATGATGAAGATACAATTGAAAATGTGTGTGAATTGACAAGTCTCTATTTTATTATAAAAGGAAAACTTTACACAATAATTAAAAAGCGTTATCCGAAAGATCCAAGCTGAATCTTAATGCTTAATAATATTTCGGTGTAAATTTAATAAATAAATTAATATCCATCTCTACAACTGTACGCTGAAATCGTTCGGTTTAAGATTGCGTTTAAAAACACATTGGAAATCACAAATTAAATTGCTAAGCATTAATTTAATAATTAATACTAAATAAGCATTCTAAAGAGCTATAAAAAGTTTATTGTGAGAAATAATTTCAATATTTATAAAATTAACAGGTAAAAGAACCAAAATCAAGAACGATACGATTTGCCGATGATAAAGAGGACAACAAACAAGAGTTAGAAAATAAGGAGAAAGACGCAGAAAAGGAAAAAGAGAAAGACAGGGACATGGCGAAAGTAAAACCGACCACGTTGCAACAAAAAATGTTGGCAATGGCGGGACAAGATATCGATCAGTTTATGCGAGAAATGGAAGTCGTTCATAAGAAGAGGGAGACTGAGCGTGCTCAAGATCTAAACGCGCGATTATCGCTGCTTGAGACGGAAAACGAATCCAATACTAAATCTAGCAATAATAAATCTAATAAAGGAGAATCTGAAGAAATAGAACCACCTGGAGCATCAGAACATCTCTCGGGGCACGGACAACACACATCTCATTCTCACGCTCAGCATACACAGCAACATGGCACAATGCCACCGATGGGCATGCCACCTCCACCTCTACTTTACAGGCCACCTCCACCGCCATTGCATCTTAGAATGCCACCACCGCCGCCACCTCGGATTGGACTCCGATTACCACCTGGTGACATTAAAATATTTTTTGTTGCATTATACTTAAATTTTTTTATTTTGGAGTCTATAACTTTCAATATAAATTTAAATTATAAATTTAAATTCTAGTTACAATGTATTTGTACATGCGAGAAAGATAATATAAGGATATGAATAATCATTTTAGGTCCACCACCTGGAATGCCGAGAATATTGAGACCTGGACCTCCAAGTATACCTAGAATGCCACCACCGCAAATGCAAATGTCGAATATGTCAAATATAACAAATTCTCAGATACAAACGCAATCTGGAACTACCGCACAACCAAAAACACCCAATGTTCTTTCTGCTGCACCACAATTAATTAACAGAAAGGACAAAGATGGAAAAAGTACCACTACTATCGAGGCAAAACCACAAATCAGGAATCTGGCTGCTGACGTTACTAGATTTTTACCGACATCTTTACGCGTGAAAAGAGATGACAAGAAGAAATCCAGCAATATTTCCAGGATAACAGAAAGGGTACCGGAAGCGCAGCCATTTAGAACAACGCAACCTAAGACAAAGGATGATGCATATATGCAATTTATGCAAGAAATGGAAGGATTACTCTGAATCTGGAAAAAAAAATGCTTTACTTAATTGGAATCATATAAATTTTGTACAATATATAATGTACATGAAATTTCTGTTATTTAGTATCATTTAAATAATATCTATATTTTTTTGAAGTATGTAATGAAAATAAGACACTCATACTAAGTTCTAATTAAAGAGCATGGAGAAACAATATATTAATAAACTATTAGAATTATTAAACGATTAATATTAATACATTAATATCTCATTAATGTTAATTTTTGTATTATATTAACATTAATTAATATTTTATATTTGACTTTAAAAATTGTTTTTAAAAATGTAAAAATCTTTATAATTCATATATACTTATAATAAATGTATACTTAATAATTTTTTTTTAAATAAGGCTTTTTATCTCAAGTTTTTTCATGTTGAAGAAAAATATAACAAAAATTTTTAATATGCACCTTTTTTGTTATTTATATAATGTGACAGAAAATCTAAATTATAATAAATTGAATGTTAAAGAAAGTCCCCATAAACAATATTTTTGACCCTGTATTTATGAAATATTATTTATGGTCAAAATTGTATAATTATTGATGATATTAATTATTATATCTTGGTTTAGAAATGGAAAGACTAGATTCAGAGTGCAATTGGTGAGAAAGAGAGCACTTATATATGAAACATTCATAGAAATTTGTAATGATTAGAATTAGCATTTGATATTAAATTAAATCTAAATATCAGGCAACAATAATTCTTTTTTCTCTTATTCTGACATTATTACATACTAAAAGACTTCCCTCTTTTATTATTAAATAAAATTAATTGTGATGCAATGCTTCATATACAAGGATAAATGATGCTTCGTTTTAAAATGCTCTATCAGAATGTAAGTAAAAAAACATATTATTTCATTTTAAAAAACAGATTTGATCTTTTCCACCGACGAGATACCATTAAAGACTGACATCCTTACGGGAGTTCGCATCTTTGTGAATATTGAAGAAGAAATTAAGAATTAAAAACTGATATTATACTAATTTTATGATTTATTAATTTAGTAGACGTATTTATGCATTTAGAACTCAATAATACTCGATTTTTCTTTAAAATTGTAATTTCGTTGTGTTATCGTTAAAGTTTTTGATTATCAACAAAGATGATAACTGCAGAGAAAAAAATTGTAATTTTACTGCAATATATAGGATATTATAACTTTACAAGTATTTATTTATGGAACATTTATGTAATAAAAAATCATGAATTTAATAATGTACGAGCCAAATGTTTTATGTTAATAATAGCAAATTTATAATTGTCAATAATGTCAGCATTCTTCAATTACCTCCGGGCCCTTTCTATACTGCTGAAAATTTGTCCAGAGTTGACGATCTTTAATAGTATTTCGTCGATGCCTTTGCCTATCCTCTCTCTCTCTCTCTTTTACCCCCATTTACAAAACAATTATTGACATCACATTATGTGTCCCTCGAAACTAAGCAACTTTTGTTTGACACTTTTTCTTCTATTATTAAAAACAAGCGAGTTATTCAGGTTATTTACCTGTTTTAAATGCTCCCCCCCCCCCTGTATAGTAACAATTGATGACTTCTAAAAGTGATCCATCTTCTGATCTTACGATTTTTATATTGAGTTATAGCCATATTTGTTACGATCACACTGTCTGCTCCATATATTTAGTAAGTTTATTTTTTCATTGATTTCGATTATAAATTTTATTTTGATATATATCTCAATTGAGGACTTGACCAGGATGAATGTGTTTTGTTTCGGTATGTTACATCATCTGCTTAATTTTTTAAAATTTCTGACGAAACTTGCCAAATGTTGTGTTTTGCATGCCGTGACTTCGCATTAGTATTTTTAATAAATTTAATTCTCTGCGGCTACATTCTGTCATCCACTAACCACTTTGAGTAAATAAAAATTTATACTTCATGTTTCAGTTATATTCTACAAACTTTTTTTTATACATAATCGCGCAGAATAAAGCTAATATTAAAAATACAAATTTTCAAGCATGTTAATTGGTTGCAAGACAAAGAGATTCTCGGATCTCTCTATAGCCAATCAATAGGCTTGAAAAACGTCATACGACAAAAATAGATTAATATTAGCCTTAAGGTATATTTTCACGAGCCGTTCAAACTGATCGTTTTAGCATCAAAAAGGATCACATGACCTAAATTGATTGTTATTAT